TTATGGCCAAGAATTTAGCTTTATTATAGAAGTAAGTGATTGCCATGATGTTTTAGAAATAATATCGAGTTTGTGACTAATAAATTCCAGCCGAGGGACACAATTTTCGACCACTTTTTCAGCAATTGGGGCCGTATGTCAGCAAAAATGCACCGAAGATTCTCTTCCAAAACAGCAATCGTCTCGGGCTTATCTGCGGAAACAAGCGACTTCACATAACCCCGCAAAATTAGTCTAGCGGTTTTCAATCGCAACATATTGGCGGCCTCGCCACAGGCCCGTGAGGCGAGGTAATGCGCACACCAAAAGTTGCCTTAAATAAATTGATTGTTTCGTTTGCTGTATGGAATGTAGCGCCGTCTTGTTAGAACCAAAGTTCGCTCACATCAACACATAAACAGCCTCCAATCAAGGCACGATATAGTCCTTAATTGTAGCTCTATAGCGTTCCCCATTGACTGTAAGCTTATGGCCGGCTTTACTTTTAAAGAAATGGTTCTCTCTACAGGCAGAGCAAATAAAATAGGGAATTTTTGAGGATGTAACGATGTCTTGCGAATTATCGTCACTTCAAATGCGAAAATTTTATTTATTAACGCACCCATCCAATCCAAGGTCCGCATCGCTGAACAAAATCTTCTTTTGAAAATAGTGATCGGTGGTCATCTCATTTTGTGCCCATTCACCTTGATGGTTGTTCGGCTTCAATTCTTGCATGAGTTGGATTTTGAGTGAGTTGAACATTTAGTTCCTTGAGAATTTGCAGCGCACCCAAGAATAAGGTCTCATGTTTATAGCTTAAGAATCCAAATCATCCAAATCCAGGTGGTTTCGTTCTTCGGTAAAGTTTTTATCCTCTGGAAAGGGTAGGCAGATCCTATAAAATATTTATATAAATGATCAGCTCGACGAGCTGAGTCGATTTAGCCATGTCCGCCTGTTTGTCCGTCCATATGTATATATGCGAACTAGTCCCTTGGTTTATGAGATACCGATCTGAAATTTTGCACACGTCTTTTCTCCCCAAGAAGGTAAGGTTTCCCGCAAACCGAAATTTCAAAAGATACCAGAATTTCAAACTTTGCACCAAACTATCAGTTGGGCATCGGGCTTTCGGTGATAGAATACTTGTTAACATAACTGCTGATACAAAAATGAGCCTTAAAAAAAGAGATTATGACTCGATCTTTTGAAAAATTGTAAATTTGGATTAATACAATTTTTCAGAAACATGATGTTGCCTTTTTAGCAGATTTCCAAAATAATATGGATTATACCATATGGAAAATTGTCGTTCAGCCATTATTATTCGTTTGGGTTACTCCTTTTTGTATGAATTCAATATGTTTACGGAATAAAATAGAAAAAATTAAAATTTAATGAAATTAAATTATAAAACAAATTCTTCGAAGCAATTTTTAATATCCCAGGCATTCAAGAACTTACAATTCATATGCTTTGCTTTTGATAAGCTATAATGGAAATTGCAATTTAACAATCTTTGATCCTTTTGCAGAACTTTTGCTTCCAGCCGATTTCTCCTAGTAGCGCATGCAATCACATGTATGTATGTATTTGTGTAGTTGAAATCTTAAGCCTACTCTTGCACTTAACTACATACTGAACTATAGTTATGTATAAGCAAGATAGAGATGCATAAACATATATACATACATATATTTACTACATCTGTACAATTGCTTCTGAGAAAGTTTAATCAAGCTCACTGAGGTAAGAAGCTGTGGCTTACTCGACGCTACCCGCGAAATAATTTTAAACCGGAAGATGCAGTGCAGCGTAGTTGAAATACCTCAGTGGAATTTGCTAAAATTTGGCCAAAGGGAGGTTGTTCACATATGTATGTATGGGTGTTTGTGTGGTGGTATAAAATGCAATCAGCGCGTCAAGCACTCACAGGTAAACTTACGCTGAGCAGTAAGCTGCAGCCGCCGCCTCCTAGTCCTTAGTGCAATTTCACTCATACGCCACGCTGCCTCTAAAGACGGCTGCTGTCGCACAGACACACTCACACTCACACTCAGACATAACACATCACATTCTTAAGGTAAGTCGTCTATAGGCAATCTGATGAGCTTGCAGTTCGCCCAAAGTATACATGCGCATATACACATATACGCTTGCCTATATCTACTTGTATAGCTATATCCTGTTTCCTCACCGTGTGTCGATATATGAAACTCGCCAGCGTTGCAAGTTGCTCTTATTCCTTGCAAAACTCCACTCGCCAACATGCTTACACATAAGTATGTATGTACTCACATGCACAAACTTTGGTAAGACTTTTCCAACTTATAGTACATAAGCTAAAGATAGCGAGTGGAAAAGTTGATCGCGTATATTTCACTGTGTCTGCTCAAAGCCGAGTTTTATTGTTTTGCGCAATTTATAATTGTTGTTAGTGTAGTTAGTTGTTTTTGCTATTGTTATTATTGTTTCTAAATGCGAAGCCGCTTATTATCTGACTAGTAAAGTATTGCAGACGTGTTGCCATAGATTACGCAGCGAACACAGTAGACTTTGATAAGGCGCTTGTGAGAGATACACACATACATACATATATACATATGTACATATTATGTAACTAATATTTCCTTTAAGCCTTTATCATCCGTACATATATATTCAAAAGTTTAAGATAAACCAAACTTTGTGAAAAATTAATTCTACAATTTGATGAAGCGATAATTAGATAAACAACACGGTGTTGTTGTTGTTGTGACAAAAACATTACTACCTAATTACCGGTATTTCACCATATATAATGCTACCAGAAATTAGGTGATGATGAAATATTGGGAAACCCATAAGTTGCGTTAATGATTATAATTATTATGCCTCCATATTTAAGTAGAATTAGACATCATATATGACTGGGTTGTAGAGCAGGTTCGCCTCCACGCGGTGTCCGGATAACGCTAAATGACCTGTGACCTACACGGCCTTTAGACTCCTATGGATTTTTGACTCATTGCTTGACACGGACCTTGCTTAGGACTATAAGTAGAATTGGCTTGAACCCTGGGCCGATGGTCCAGGTATTCTGTCACCTGAGTCTGCCGGGGTGACACTTTGCAGAAATGGCTGATGGGTTAATACCATGGCTTCCTCCGTCCTCGTTAAAACTCTGGCAGGGCACGGCGTATGCTTCCCTCCCGTCATTCAGTTGGTGTGGTAGGTTTAAGTTTAAGGAGTCATCTACCTTCTTTGTGCCGGTTAGCTTTGAATTAAATGCCTCATAGAGACGTGCCCTGCCTTGGCACCGTAACTGGAATAAACTTGGACCCAAATAAGGCATCTACCATTCCAGTTTAATAATAGTGAAAACAAAGAATTAAAAAAGGACGAGGGAGTAGGAAGGTCGAAACCGGCCTCAATGGACAGTCTCTCGGAAGGAACACTATCACCCAGACGTCCCCCGAACAGGATGATGGCAAAACCGGCTGGACATGCCTTACCATCACTGAGGGTGGTAAGTTAATGGAAGTCGATAGGAATCTTCTTACAGAAAATAAATGTAGGGCTAAAGTGAGAGGCGGAATCGCCAGTACTAGTAGAGGAACCTCTGCTAACTTCACGGAGGGTACGGGGTCCAAAGCAAATGTTAAGGGTGCCATTAGGAAGATTGTGACGAAATCGCTAAACTCGCACAACTCACGAAACTGTAACAATTCACCACTAGATTAGGTTCGGTTAAATTAAAATATTATTTTTAACAGAAATCCCACTTGGACGGCTTATAGCCGGTCTATTGTGGTACCTAGAACGCCTATAAAATTGATTATAAAGACACTCCTAAATCGAAGAAGTATTTGAGTAGATCATAAATTCTTCACTGTCAGATTTCTCGAAAGCCATTATTTTACAATATAATTTTTGGCCACAGTCGTATGAATTAAAATTATTCTTTTTTACTTGTTTTATTCTCCGGAGCTAAGATTTCTTTTGAGCGAAGAATTTAAACGAGCCAAAACTCCAAAATAGATCCAATTCATTGATTTTCTAGTGTATTGGTTTTTTTTCAAAACTTCATCATCAAGTTCATTACTTAGTCTCTTCTATTTCCTGAGTAAGTTTTACTCTATGGTTATTCATTATATCATATATTTTCATTAAATAATTGTGCCCCACAGAGCTTAGTCCTCATATACTAAATAATTTCAGTTGCAAATTGATTTTGCAACCTAACCATTGCTAATGTTGCAACTATGCGAATTTTGGCTTTACTAGCTGGGCATTCTCTCGAAGTATATAACACCTTGAAAGGATTTCATTAACTTTTCTGTCATCTTTATTTTTTGGAAACTGCAAGGACTTAGATATTTTTTCCGCCCAGACCTACATTCAGAATATGTTTTTATGGTGAGATTCGTCTTCTTAAGTTGAGCAACTATGATTCATACCGGTAGGTGCTTTTGAATAAGAGGTTGAGGAAAAAATCTGCTGCTAATTTCGATAAAATGGCAAAATTTTATTTTTTTTAATATTTTGAAACATAAAAAAGTTGCAAGTAATATAATGGAAAATATTTCTGTATTGCCTAACAATGTTGAAATTGAGTTAGTAATTTTTAAGTATTTTTGCATCCTTAGAATAACTCGCGACCGTGAGACGAATTAGTGTATTTTCCCAGCATATCCTTAATGTTAATAGTAACGATTTCCCATGTATATAACCCTCGATAAATTCATGTTAACATACTAATAGTTGCTTTAATCCTTTAGTAATCTCAGGTATAAACACGCGAACCGACCTTGCTCACGCGTTCTTGTTATTTTAGTGCGGGTACATTTTTTTTAATTACTCAAAGGCTCAATTATTTTTATTTACCTAAAGGCTGAAGATCAGCTCTATTGAATAAATATCACCTTTTCCCAGAACCTACTTTGTAAACACTTTTAATAATATAGAATATTTAAGGATTCCACAAGCTATGTTTGCCTTATCTACCTGCCTGTTTGTGATAAAAAGTTGGCACGAGAATGCTTCGAACTTCAGTGAGTTGAATAATCTCAAACTATAAATATGGACTGCAAAAATGTATCCTGGTGTTCTATACTAACTTTTATACTTTTAAAAGCGAGGAGGATTCAAAAGCGGCACCGTTATAAGCATTGGCAACATTCCCTCGAGGAATCGTAATAATCGCCACATTTTAGAAAAATATCCCTGCTGGCAGCTGTAATGCGGAAAAATGAAAAGTCGACAAGGTCGCAAGGGTAACGGAATATGATTTTGTTTGCTCTTTAATTCACAAATTTAGCCTTAGAACCTATAAGTAGATGGTGCTCTGAGCGCGCATCAACTGAAATAATTAATATGTTTGATCATGGTACTAATGGTGTGGACACGCCGGTGCCGCAAAAGTGCGGATTCATTGCTTGCTCCCACGGAATCTGCTATGGCCATTATTTTTATTGATAAAGTTGAGACGGGTTGTTTTGAATAAACTTGAATAAGGCTGGCGTGAAAACATAAGAATGATTTTTTAAACCGGACAAAATTATTTCGTGCACAGCGTAATTTAGCTCTTGGTTTACTAAATTGTTTAGTTTTTAGGTTTTAACCTTACGTATGTATTGTATTTTTATTAATATTTTTTTATTTTAGTGACATAAGATCCTACTCTTTATACACACCATATATTTTAAATATAGGTTGTAAATAGAAACAAAAACAAAACCAAATTTTTTTGTGCATCTTTTTATATTTTGTTTGATCTGTGTATATGTATATATGAATTATATGCCGTCACTTGAACAAGATCGATGAAGATTACATTTTCCAAAAATGACTCAAAACTATATTCGACAGAAGCCTCAGTTATTGACAAAAAATGTTTTCGATGATTAATATTTGTTTTTGTTCGCTAATACCGAAATATAAACGACTTCCCTCGTATCAGCTAGATAGGCATTTAAAATTAATTAGTTTTAATAACTTAAAACTTTAAACGAACTTTTCTCGAAACTGTGTTTTCAAAGTCGGCTGTCAAGATTTCTCTCAAACGGCTCAACCGATCTTAATGAAATTTTACACTGGCCTTCGAGTTATAACTTACAAAGCCTTGAACGAAGGATTTTTTTGTTCAATTACAACTATTTAAAAACACAAAAACGTGAAGAAATTTTTACCAAGACTTCCGTATTTTGTTTTTTTGTAAAAACGTCTCTTAAAATACAATTTTCGGTTTTTCGTCCGATACCTAGTGTATGATCTAAGTAAAAGCACGTTGTTTTATTTTTTTTATTTTTGATGATCCTGAAGCAGTTCTGCTGTCAACGCGGAACCACATTTTTTCCGACGCACACTTTTTTCCGATGCTGGAAATGACGTCATAATGGGCGGGTTTTGTATATTTCAGAAAACATTTGTAAAATAGGTATCTTTGGAATAATAAAAAGTTCGATTAAATATTTAATTTCTGAAAATTGAACGTTTTTTGCACGAGAAAACTAATGCAATCTCTTAATATAAATGATGGGCTTAAATAGATTTTGGCCAAAAGCTTATTGTTAATATATTTTCGAAACTTTATTATTGCCTTCGAAATAGCATCTGCAGCCAACAAAAGCATGTAAACGTTTAATCCAATTATTCACATATAGGATGCTTTTTAAGGTTTTTTCGGTTTCGGCTCATTTGTGGAGCGCCCCTCACTAGATTATTGGTAATGATGAATCTCGATAACTTCACGAAATTCACTGAATGTTCACTTTTGTTCAATTCAATTACTGAAAATACAAAATCTTAAGCAAGTTCGTTAATTTTTTTCTATATTCTATATCGTCAGACAAACTGTTCGCGTCGTAAACAAATATCTAACTAGTTAACATATGGAGATCAAACTTCACACGTACTTAAAAAGGTTATACTTATTTAGAAAAACAAAAAAATTATTCACACGATTTACTCGCGCAGTTGAAATGGAACAGTCTGAGTTAAATGGTCAGATGGTATAGAGTTCTATTATGTTCGAATTTAGGGTTCGAGTTTGTTAGAGAGCAGGGCGTAATGTCAAAAGCTCTGCACTAAAATAAGCGTCAAAATAAACCACAACTCCCAACTGGTTCCTAATTGTATAAGAAATAACGCCTAAATAACTACAATTTTTTGTCTAAATAGTACTGCAATGATCCTGCACCAGAGAATAGGTCTGAATGATCTCTCACTAGTTCATAACTAGATCTGACTTTATTTTCAACTAACTTTAAACTCTCTAGGGTAGAAATATATTGGAATTTAAAAAAAAACATTATCATCCACCTTTTCTCTTAGAACAAATTAAATTCAAACTCAAATTGGTTAGAGTGACTAGAGCGCAGAAGTGTTGATCAAAAATTTCCCTCAACATGAAGGCATATTATGTAAATCATTCTTACTACAAGATTTACTAAATATATTTCATTGTCTTCTCAATTAATCTATATAAATATATATCATTGAAAAAATTTGAAAGTAATGAATTTAATACTTGATATGAGAGTCTAAAATTTTTTAATTCATTAAATCGACTGTATTATCGTAATTATACTTAGACAGTCTAATTATATAACATATGCTCAACTTCCAAGTATATTTGTCTGGATAAACATTGTCCAGGCCATTTGCATACTTGTATCGTTCGTTTACTGGTAAAACGGCATAACTGAAAAATATATAAGTGGAGAAAAGCGCACATGAATTTTTCAATTTATTGAAATTGTTACAGCAGTGATAAAATAAATGGATTGCTCAGAAACAAGTGCACAAAATATACCGTTAGGGTGCTTTTATATAGAATTAATCATGCAAATAGACTAGTTTCCAAATTTTTGAATTTTTGAGTTATGACATTTTTCAAATAAATTTAAAATATGCATTTCCTTTTACACATATGTGCAGTGAGTACACAAAAAGCCATTAACGGTCATTAATATTAAATGCTATATCGCGCTCTTTTGTGTACCGTTTCCGTGCGCTATTTTCTTTTGTGCTCCGCTCGCGTTTATAATATAAATGTATAATGAAATTCATAAGTTTGGCAAATGAAACTAAAACGAAATGAGAATTTTATTGTGCAATAAAATTGTTGACTCTGTGAACATACGTATACTCATACATACATGCATGTGTTAATAGTGCAGTGCACTTTGCAATTTCTGTCGGATGTGCCGGTTGCCAATTTCACGTTGCACATCCGTTATGGCGCTGCCACGTGGAAATGAGATAGCGGTGCTGCAACCAGCCGAGTCCTTTGCCTGCTGCTACTTGCATAATGCACGAGTTTGCATGTGACTGTATGTGTGTATATAAATACAAATGTGTGTATGTGTGTAGAGGAGCGCTTTTATCGTATCCCCTGGAATTTTCTGGCATTTCCAACCATCAAATCAGAGATTAAAAGAGGTTAAAAGCCCAATTTTCATTACAATTAGTATGACCAACTGACCGGACATGTTGCCATAGCCAAAATTACTGTTAACCATTGTGCTTTATTTTCGCATATTTAAAGTTGAACGGGCGGGCGGTTGAGTGTGTAGACAGTTGTTGGAAGCACGAGTTTATATCAAAAAGTTGTGTAGGTAATCGGGTGGATGAACAGTTATAATCATACCTATGTATATCTTGTAGTATGTATGAAAGTATTCATAAAATTGTTAATTAAAAATACGTTTTCTTTAAAAGAGTCCTCGATATCCGTGTGTATATCCATTGTCGCTAAATTTCTGTTCAGCGATGTACTTTTTTGAAATTTCAGCACAGAACTAGTTTCGATGCGGCAGAGATCCGGATAATTATTCCAATTCCATGTCCAATTCATTCAATTTATGCATGATCGACGAATTTGAGCACTCCCAGCTACCACTTGGCACAGAGGTTTTATATATCCAATATTTTTCCTAAAAAACAGATTACTTTAAGAGGCACAGACCTAGTTTGATCGCTTAAAAAACGAGATTTTAGGAATTATTTGAAAGAAAACTAATTCCTAAATAGCTGCAGTGATTGCGGCCTTCACCGTGGTTGAAAACAAAAAACATAAAAAAAATTATAAATCTGTAACAGACTGAAAACCGAAGGAAATATCGAATTTTGCTACTGGATGGAAAAATTTATACAAAATAAGCGTAAAAAATCAAGGATTTGTTTTCGAGTTACAACTTCAGAAAATTTTAAAAATGAGGTTTTGAGAAAAAACTGTTTACAGGGTACTTTTAAGAAAGCTGAAACTAAAAAAAACATTTAAAATATTCTTTAAACATTTTGGGATGTTATTTTCAAAGGTTTGAAATATGAAAGAAATAAATAAATTTTTTCGAACAATAGGTGTGCTCTTTAATTTAATATTTGCGCTGTGTCTGCAACAACTTCGGTGCTCATACGGACGGTGAAGGCAATTGGTATTTAACATTTAACCTGCATGGTATATTGGTGAGCCGAGATAAGTGCTTCATTTGCACTATGTCAGTTTCATAGGAGTAACCGGTAAGTTATAACCACTAATATTAAATAAAAACACTTTTACCCGTATAATCCTTGGCATTCAATGCACTACAGTAGAGCAGTCCAGAAACGACGATATGTTCGCTATTTAATTAGAGTTGTCTCTTTTCCATAGAACATGGTCCGCCTAGAATTGGATGCCGAGTAGTAGTAATCTTATTTCCTGACCGAACTATCGTAGACATCATTTGCTAGATTTTTATTTAAACTGTATTACAGCAGATTTCAGTGTTTTGCACAAATTTAGTAACGACTCACGCGCTAAGGGTATACTTATATGACTTTTTTCTCTCGTTTTACTCGTTAGCCGAATTTGGGTTCTTTAAAGAGATATTTTATTGAAATAAGACATGTTTTAGGAGTAGATACATACAAACATTTCTATGACATAACAAAGTGCAGTACAATAATTTATTCAAATGGGAAACATCTGGCAATGCTTAGCCTCTCATGCATGCATAAATATACTTATATATAAACCCTGCTGCATTCAGTATCGTAATGAATATTTTGCTGTGACATTCGATGGACCAACCAAATTTGCAACAAATCCGCAAATAAAATATGCAGCGAACACTCCGTCCAATATGTGACAAGATGTAGAACAAGCATTTTTGAAATTTATTAAGCAACATTTTGCGGTTAGAATGAAGACAAAGTGCAACATAGAGACTTGCGCCTACAGCAGGAGTTCACTATCCAGCATATATGTACATATGTATATGTGTATAAAGCTATATGGTGAAGCTTGGTATGATGCAAATTGTGAAACTGAAAGCTTCTGAAGCCTTGAGGAGGTTGGTGTGAGACAGTTGGAAAGTATGTCTGTGTGTATGGTGGCAATGTTTTCCAAAACAGGTGTGAGGCCTGGACACAGAATAGACCACAACTTTGACATAGTTAGTCACATGCAGATAGTTTATGCTTTTGTGTTAACAACCGAGCTCGGAATCACACAAAGGAAGCGAAAAGAAAATGTAAGAATGGAAGTATGTTAAAGTAAATTTTAATCTCCAATTAAAATGCTGTACATGACGTGTGGTTAAGCCTACAAGAATTCATGTGTGTGTGTTTGAGGACAAAGTAGAAATGTTTGTGGATTATTTCTACAGATAAGCAAAGCACAGGGTAAATCATAAAGTTGCATGAATTAATAAAAATAACAAAATTAGTTCCTTAACCCTTAGTATGCTAAAAAGGTTTTTCTTTTTAATTTTGTAAATAAAGAAAAATAAGTTTTGCCGCAATGATAGGCAAATGGGACACTGTCCCTTTGGCACTAACGTGGTGAGGCTCAAGATTTAAAGGACACAAGAGAAAAAGGGCACCGTCCCCCAACAGTTAGGTATACTTAACCGAAAAGCAAATGAGACATCTTGTTGCTTGTGGAATTTTAAAACCCATCGAAAATTTTTCTTATGGGATTGATTGTTGGATCGCCTTGAAGAAGATTGAGCTCTAAAACTTATATCACTTTGACTTCATCGACTTTAACCATCTCGTTATCTGATGTTAGGTGGTCTACGACGTCGGCATCAGACTTGAAGGGCAAGATTTGGTCCGTCGTGAATTCATAAATGGTCTCCCCGTCACTTTTCACCAAACGTTCGGTGAATTCTTTTGTTAGTAGCAGCAGGATTGGCATCAGCTTTTCTACAACTGGCCTCTGTCTTTTAGTCTCTTTAGTTGTAGTAGGTCATCGACCTTAATCGACGCCATTTTCTGGCGGATAATATATATATACAATAGCAGCTTACTTTTAGTACATCCTTTCTCTACAGCTGCTGGTTCTAGACTCTGTGACGGGCGCCAGGTATCAATAAGCTCCGTTCGATACTGGGCTACTTAAGAGCCGCGGCCAGGCTTTGGTTTTTTGTTTTGTTCCACAAACCATGGTAAGTCTTTCAATGTAAATGATGTACTATTGAGGATCAA